GGACAACACAAGGGGCATTAATAAACATCTTTGCTATTTAGTGCACAATATTTGAATAAACTAACAACATCCACCAACATAGAACTGTGGCAGTCAGTGCAACTGAGGTAGGTATTAACATCATGTCTAAGATAACTCACTTAATGGAGAGAATAAGTGAGTGGCAGTTGTTTTTTTTTTAAGAAAAGTAGCTTTTCTGCATTATCTCAGTCAGACTGTTTCTGTTTTCATCTATAATGTGTGACACTGAGCTACAAAGACTTTCACTTTCCACACTCCTACATGGGGCTGAGAGGTATTTACTCGGTATTTACCCGGCGCCTGTGATTAACCCCTTACATGCCGCTCAAACATAGACAGGTCTCAGACCGTGGTATAGGTCCCCAATATCGGGAGACTTTTAACGAGTACGAGTACTTTAGAAAATGTGGTATCGAGGCCGATACCGGTATGGGTATTGGTGCAACCCTAATTATAACAATTAGTCTCATTCCAGAAGCAAATACTTTCTTACTTATTATTTTTACACTGTAACTTTAACTTTAACCCATTAAGTTAATACGTATGCTTGTTATTCCTAATGGTACAAGTCCCTTGAAGACAATGGGGGCAGGGCTAAAAAGAAAGTTAAAAGAACAGCTGAATACATCTGAAAAATAAAATAAAGCATTAAATAAATATGCTACATACAATCATAACAACAGAGGCAAAAGGAGGCAAATGATAGGTAAGCAAGCACGAGCAACACACACAAACAATTAACATGAAAAGCAATACAACATAGCAGCAATACAGGAACGGCATGCAATAACAGACAGCACTGCACACTTCCTGTGTGTGTGATTACAGTGCAAACACTTTCTCTGTGTGAGTGTGGATAGTTTTGGCTGCAGTGTTTTCAAGTGCGGTCAGAGGAATAAAGATGCAATGATGGGCTATGCCGCAAGCCAGACTGTGCCCTTAGCAGTTGCATGTAACATTGCCATGCTCTGACCAGGGCAGGATAGTAATTTGATTGAAAACAAGTTGAGCAGAGCAGGTGAAGGGAGAACACATTCTGTACAAGAAATCATTTCAGTTTGGTGTCATCTGGTGGCACCATCAAGAATGAAACCAAACTGAAAAGAAGAAAAGAAGGAGATGCACAACTAACGTATCTACATTTATAACAAATCATATTTGTTACTATATTTTCATGCATAATTTTTACATTCAATGAATGTGTAGGTTATATAAACTGCACATTTATTACATACATGTGCAGTAACATGGCAAAATGTTTCTTTTCTTTGCATGCAGAGAGCAAACTACATTGTTTACTTTCACACACCGGATAAAGAGATTTGCTAACATATAAAAGATGCTTTTGGCTTTTTCTTTCATTAGTTGTACTAATACGATGAGCGCACAGTTACCCATGTTTTAGTCACTTTAATTTATAAATTTATATCACATGCGGATTTCCTGAATTGTTGTGTGTGTGGGTGTGTGTGTGGGTGGGTGTTTGTATGTGTGTGTAGCTGTGCAAGTTTATGGGTTTATTAATAGTTCATCACCATTTCTGATAAAGGAAACTGAGGAAACCGAAGATCTAAAGAAGAAATCTAAAACACTTATCTTTCTTAGAAGCTGTGCGTCTTTCAGTCACCACTATGACTACATTTTGCTGGGGTTTTTTTTAAGCTTGCTGTCTTTTGCCCCACATCACTTGACAAGCCTGTTTGAAGGTTTGAGGTAAAATTAAGGTAGATTGATTAATGGTCTGGCATGTCCTTGTGAAGCTAGCCAAACAAACATGTCTATATGTTAATGTGCCCCTCCCAAGCATGCTGTGCCAGAAATACATGGGGAAAACCAATTGACGGAGAATGGCTTCTTCTTCTTTTTTAACAGACTTATATGAGAACCACTCATCTGATGAACATCAACTCAGTAACACATTAACTCGAGACCCAAGAAATTCAGCTGCAAAGTTTGAAGCAGTTCAGATAAATGTTTGTTGACATAGGTGAGAAGAGATGGACAGACAGAAGGACAAGAGAGCTCTCAAATTCTTTACAAGATGTTGTATTTACACTTTGTTTTGCAGTTCACTGAATCCCTCTTTATATAATGAATGAGTCCAATCTTACTATGAGGACGCCAAAGTATGTGAGGTGGTTACAGGAACAGGTGATGTTAGTCTGACCACGTGTCCAGTGTGTGAGGCAGCCATCCTCACTAAAATCTGGTAAACAAAACAAACAGATCCATTATGCAAAAGATTAAATTTCTGAACATCAACTCAGTGTCGGGGGCCCTGAGTGAAAACACAAACCCCAATGAGTCCAACTTATGAAAGAAATAGGTGTCTTGCTGCTCAGAAAAAGATTAAAGGAACACTTTAAAAACACATCAGATTTTGAGGGGGAAAAGAATCACGCTGGTTATCTATAATGATATCAACTGGGTGATGTGTTAAGAATGAACAGATCCCACATTTTTTAATAGAAAGGGAAATATAAACCTACAGTGGGTTGAATACCAATTCAAAATGGTACTCAGTAGTTCGCAGTGTTGGGCAAGTTACTTTGAAAAAGTAATTAATTATAGTTACTAGTTACTTCTCCAAAAAAGTTAGTAACTGTAGTGTACATTTTTAACTACTTTTGATGTTTCCTCTACATTTCACCTTTAAAAACTATTTACTTTGCCTTGTTTGGTATCCTTTTCAGCACAACCTCACGTGTCTGAATTTACAGTTATGTTTTCATTTTGACATACTGTATTAACACAATTGATCTAAAATCAGACAAAAAACATAAAATCAGAGTAGAAAAAGTTATATTTTTTACTGTAACAACCACAAACATGTTTAATGAATGATATTTCAGAACTTTAAATGCAAATATAAATGATCAATTTTAAAATCCTATGCACAAGTTTTGCAAACAACAAATTCATCAATTTACCTTTTACCTTGATTTTTTTTAAAATAACCATTTCAAACTATTTACAGAACAACCAGCTGTTCTGCAGTCAATAAGATGCCACACAAATTATTTGTTCCACTCCAAAAACACAATTTCTGTCCACTATAAAGGAGAACATCACAGCCTGATACCTGCAGGCCTGACAGCAGCAGGTGTATCACTCCTTTTTCTATTTGGAGACAGCAGTCGCCTCATTGTTCTGACACACAACACAAAACTATCCACATCACTACACACTAACTACACAAGACAACATATTAACTACACACTCCAAAGACGCTAAACGTCACAAATCTCTCACATCTCAAAACTCTCTCTCTCTCTTTTTCTGCTGTCTTTCTCTCTCTCGCTGTCTCTCTCGCTGGGTTGCTCAGAGGTCTCGCTGCGAAACTATTGAGGAAAAACACCGCGTATATATTGTTTATCATGACTCTGGTTTTACGTGGCCTATCAACGCAATTTATAAACTGGTATAAATCACCTTGTTGCTTTGTCTTTAAGTGGTCATGTGATTGGCTTACCACGGCTACTTTACTCTTCCTCAGTCAAACAGCAGCACTCATGCGATTGTTTTGCCCCCTTAGCTCCAGGTGTTGTGCTAGACAGTGATCATGATCACCGTCCGCGGGAGCGCGCAGCTGCTTAAAGCTGTAGCGTCCAGATTACTTATGTAGTCAGCTACTTCCATGCAACTGATACAAGATGCGGTAAGCTGAACACAGCTTCAACTGTCTGTTTGTTGAAAAATAGTAACGGACCACATTTTCTTGTTAGTAACTGTAACAGCATTGTAACGATAGGAATAGTAATTAGTTTGGTTACTCGTTACTGAAAAAAGTAACGCCATTAGTAACGCCGTTACTTGTAACGCCGTTATTCCCATCACTGGTAGTTCATATGTCCCCCACATGCTTCTGTGCTTGCCTGACAAAGCTGGGGCATGCTCCTAATGAGACTGTGGATGGTGTCCCTGGCGATCTCCTCCCAGATTTGGACAAAGGCATCAATGAGCCTACTTGAGGATGTCGGGTCTGCTGGAAGTCGTTTTGTAGGCCTCTATCTGTGCTCTTCATGTTCTTCCTTACACAAAGGGCACATGTGGTACTTATGGATTAAGGACCTTTAACAGTCTTGTCCAGCTCTCTTAAAGTAACCTCCTGTCTCCTAGAATCTCTTCTATGCTCTTGCGAAGTGTGATGGGAGACATAGCAGATTTTCTGGCAATGACATGTCTTGATGCGCCATCTTGGAGGAGTTTGACTGCCTCTGCAACCTTTGTAGGGTTCATGTATGTCCTCATGTTAACAGTAATGAGAATGATCCCAGTCAAATGCAAAACTAGTGAAAAAACAGAATAGATGAAGATGGAAAGATATCGGTGTCCACCAACTGTAAAACCATTCTTTTTTGGGAGTTTGTCTCATTATTATCCATCTAGTACACCTGGTACTTAGGCTGCTTAGGCTGCTGCCCCCGCGACCCGACCCCGGACAAAGCGGATGACGATGGATGGATGGATGGATAGTACACCTGGTATTAATTTTATTAACGCCAAATTATCTACCCCCTCTGCTACTTAGCTGACCACACCTATAGCCCATAGGTTTAACTGACTTGATGCTGTACTCTGATTAAAAAGTGTTCCTTTACTTATTTTTTGAGCAGTGTACATTACTGTTCATGACAGATGTGATGCTTGTTACTTACTGCATGTTGAATAATTAAGGAAATGACACGAGGGTTTTTGAGTTTCCTATGACACAAACATATTTCATGTTTGTACAAAATGTACACCATATTATATGTATCAATTAATTATGCAATAAAGTAACACGAGGTAGAAATGAAATAAATGATCAAAAAAAGCATAGTTACGTCGATTTTCTTGGTAAACTCCATCGTGATGTTGATGCGCTCCTGCAGTCCTGATATCTCCTTGTTCTGCACACTCAGACCAACCAGTCTTTGATCATATACTTCATGTGGGCTTTCAAAAATGCTCTACAATAAAATGCAAATTTGTCAGCTGGTTTAACAATTTTGCAAAGACAGTTTTAATATTAGTTTCGGGGGGAAAAACACACTACTCAATGATCTAGATGCACTGTTTGATATTCAAATAATTTACATTTAGTTAAAAATGAGATTTTTCTTTCCTTGTGTACCCAGCTTCCTTCAAAAATATGTGTACTAATTTACATTTTATTAATCAATAAAAGGTCAACACATAATAAATACAGAGGCTAACAAGGGAATACATAACAGAAGGGAGACACAGTTGAACCTAATCTGACAAACAAGACGGGGAGGAAGCAAAACAGAATACTCTAACCCGGGACACAGGACTGTCAAAATAAACCAGGAAATACACAAAAATAGAGACAAGGATGACTGGAAACACACAAGGGAAACAAAGGAGGCACAGTAACAAAACCTAAAGACTAGAAATCACCAAAAACACTAAAGAATTACTAAATTAGCTAGAAATACATATTTCCTAACAAGTGATAAAAATAAGAAAAAAATATAACCTGAAATCCAAATGTTATTTCATTAGACTAAAACGAGGAAAACCTCGCGGTAGTTTAAATTTAATGTGTAAATGCAAAATTGGCAAAAATCCTATTGTTCTATAGCTCACCAAATCCTTTTCCTACATATTGTTATATAAGAAAATGTAGTTTATGACCTCGTTCATTTTAGGCCATTTAAACATGCAGAACACAATCTTGTTATTCGGTCCAGCATCCAGTTCTCTTGGCAGCTGGACAAGGACTTTACTGTTGAGAAGAGGCACATCTGGTGTTACCTGTATCAGCATCAACATGCCAAGAACAGAAAGAAAACAACTGCATGTGTATAGCAGTAACATAATGCAACTCTTGCTACTGACATTGTAAATAAAATACATTGATGTCATGGTGTTGCTGTTTGGAAAGTGAACTGAATTTAAAAGTTCACTTTCCCAACTTTTTCACAAAAAGTATAATAAAATGTAAAATATAATATTTTATAAGAAATATAATAATTATAATATAAAAATATAATGTTGATAACTATCCAGACCTTAATCTGCACATAAACTAATGCCCACAGACTTCAGTGAAATAAACAATGTGTAAAGAAAAGTGGGCTGAATTTTTCTTCACTTCCTTGCACACAGATTTGAGCTGACAAATAGAAATGGAGTAAAACACTCAAGGTAATGCCAAGACGTTGTCATAAATTTAATAAAAGCTTTCCTAGTTTGACGTTTATTTCCATTATTTCCTTTTTTACAAAGAGTTAATTACCTGTTCGAGGTAATTAAGTTCCCCATAATTACCTTGAACAGAACATTAGACTTGTTACAATGTATCAGACCTTAAAAAAGCAGGTCCTAACCAATATCTGACCCAACCTCAAAATTGGATCCAAATATCAGCTCAGTAGTTGGTAGGTATTTCTGGCTACACTTTGAGTCTGACTACAAACCATTGTTCAATAGGATCATGTGATGTTCTTTTTTTTTTACCTGTGTGTCATCAGCATAAATTTTAAGGCCTCCAAAGGTATCATTGGGTTTGTGCAGAAGCGCCACAAAAGTTTTGACACACACTTGCATGCTCACATTCACCTCTGTTCTCTCTAGAACACTTTCTAGAGTCCTAATGGCTCTTGGGGAGGAGGATAGGAAAATATTAACAATATTAATGATTTACATCCTTTAATTAATGTATTTTTTTTTCAAAATAATTAATAAACACAAAAAAACCACACAAATTTGAAATCTTGTTTTAAATACTGAAAATTTTGTGTAATAATTAAAATGTTTACGTCATAGCGTCAGTGCGGTTTCCAGTTCTCAAAACCTTGTCTGTATAATCCATACAACACTCTGTATGATTACGACCTGTAGAGAAAATGTAAGAACACACATTTTACCCTTGTACAATTAAACCACCCACATGTCCCCAGAATGTATGAAAGTTTAATCTTAAAACATTATACAATTTCATATTTCGTTATGAAGACATTTATAGGGGAATGGAGATGTGAGAAGCAGAGTTGAAAGGTTCATTTTTAAATGCAATATCACCATGTAAGAAAAATGGCTGTTCAAAACCAGTTATAGTATATAAAACATGAATTCCAGAAAAGTAGGGATGTTCGTTAAATTTTGACAAAGATGAGAACCAAAAGACTTTCAAATCACACAAGCTAATATTTTATTTACAACAAAACATAAATAATAGATGTCTGAACTGAGAAATTTTACATTTCAAACTTGATGCTTGATACAGGTCACAAACAATGGCTGAAATAGCAAGAAAGATCAAAACGTTTCAGCTGGGAGAACATCTAGCAGGTAACACGATAAGCTATAAAACGGATGTCTTACAGAGAGTCTCTCAGAAGAAAAGATGGGCAGTGGCTCTTCAGTCTGTGAAAGAGTACCTTAAAAGATTGTGGAATACTTCAAATGTTCCTCAACGTCATCATCTGCAATGCATGACATCATCAAAAGATTCAGAGAAACTGGAGATGCGTCTGTAACCATTTACACTGAAGGTGCTACAGTCTCAGTGCATAAAGGACAAGGCTGAAAATTTTTATTAAATGCCCGTGGTCTTCGGGCCCTCAGACAACACTGCATCATTCATCGGCATGATTGTGTCACTGACATTACTAAGGGGCCCAGGAAACCACTGTCGATGAGCACAATCTGATATGATATCTGCAGATACTAACTAAAGCTCTGTCATGCAAAAAGGAAGCCATGTTTGAACATGATCGAGAGGCGGCGTCATATTTGTGAAATGTACTGTTTCAAAATGGAAACGTTTTCTATGGCCAGACGAGTCCAGATTTGACATAGTTGGTAATCACAGACGTCTCATCCTCCAGGCTAAAGAGTGGGAGACATTCCAGCGTGTTATCAGCTTTCAATTCAAAAGTCAGCATCTTTGATGATATGTGTTGGAATAAATGCATTCAGTATGGGCAACTTGCGTGTTTTGGAAGAAACAGTGAATGTTGAAAGGTTTTGGACGCCCTTCTATTCGGGTTAGCATTGGAGCCACTTGTTGGGTTGCGGGAGTGGAGGGCATCACCAGTGACACTGGAACTGTCATCTGCAATATGTTCTTTTTTCTGTATATAAACAAAATCCTCATAAAAAGATTTATAAAATAAAATACATAAAGGTTTTAGAGCAACATATGATCCCTTCCAGAGTACATCTGTTTCAGGGAAGGCCTTTTGTATTTCAGCAGGAAATTGCAAAACCACATGCTGCCACTATTACAACAGCATTGCTTCATCGGAGAAGAGTCTGGGTGCTGAATTGCTATGCTTGCTTTCCAAATCTTTCACCTATAGAGGTGCATCATTAAATGAAAACTACATCAAACAAATTCCCACACCAAAACCCTAGAAACTCAAAACCTTGATGCCCAGACGTCTTCAAAATGTTTTGAAAAGAAGAGCAGATGCTACACTATTGTAAACATGTCCTGTAGCAAGCATCAAATTTAAAATGAGCTAATTTTGTGCTTAAAATTGAAAAATGTCTCGTTTTAAACATCTATTCTGTTATTTCTGTTCTGTTCTGAATAAAATATTGGCTCATGTGATTTGAAAGTGTTTTAGTTTATTTATTAAACTAAAACACTTGAAGAAATTTAAACTTAAAGAAATTTAAAGAACATTTAAATGAGGATTGAATCCTTTCTTCTAAAGTGTAGTAAAGTGATTTAAAGGGACATAACATTTTATGTCTGACATTTTAGGGCTGTGGTAGAATAGAAGAAGAGGAGTAGGAGAGAAATAAACACATGTAGCTAAAAGACTGACAGAAAACAAGCCGAGTTTATATAAACTCATAAAAGGCAAAAAGAAAAGTAAATAACTCACACCCCTTGCTTCTTGGGTTAGAATCTAAATTGTCTGCTGTCCCCAGATTTAAGTAATTATTTTATTACAGCAGTTAACAACTTACCTATGTTATATGTTATATTGCACATAGTCTCACAGGAACCCTGTCCTGACACCCAATTCTCATAAAGCATTTCATAAGACACAAAAGACATCAGCCACCAGAATATCCAGCTCTTCTTCCTGTGAAGAGACTCACATTTAGAATGAAAAAAAAATATATATGCTTTTCCGTCAAATGTTGTCAAAGTTCCTTTCAGATTTAAATTAGTTGATTCATTTAGATTAGCATTATTTTACAAAGCTATTCAAGCATTATGTTATTTGTCTTTTTTTATTTTGTTGCCATTATGATGAAGGTAGACAGAAAATCAATCCCACTGCATTTAAGGTTTCTAATTGATTAAAAACGGTAATTTGATTGTACAGTACGGGGAATGAAAAAGTGTTATGTTTTACTGTCTCACAGAATGTATGATTGGATAAAGGGATTTAAGTTGGTACTGAGGCATATAACCATATAACTGAGCCACAAGAGGAGGTCTCGGTGGATGGAGGGGTCATCAAACCTTTGGAAACTGCCCTTGCTCCTGTTTCAAACTGAAAGTCAATGTTCCTTTGATGTATGGCCATCCCATACCCTTAACTACATGTTTATTCTTAATTCTTTATTGTTTTCATTCTTAAATATTAGTAATACTTTTGCATTTCCACTAAAAGTAGGTGTAATAATTCAAGGAATGTCCCCACATCTTATATTCAAAAGACAGGGGCAAACCACCTATTACTGCAGATTGGAATGCAGCATGAGTAATGAATGCAGTGGTAATGTAACAGACCAGAACTTATTACATGTTATCAGTATCAAAACTGTTTATAACCATTCAGCAAACTGATTGTAAATGAGTAACAGGTTCAGATGTTCAAATTCCTCTAATTGGACACATGTGAGATGGTATTGGTTCCATGTCATAGCATCTTACATTGTACTGTAGCACACTAATCGATTTAATGTTATACTGTTAAACAATTTGAAATTCAAATACTACAAAGATATTTAAAGCTAAATTATCATTGTGGTCTATTTGACAAAGTAAGACCTTTAGTCAATGTAGAGATATTGAGACAGCCACCAAAGCTCTCACACCATCACCCTGAAGACTCATCAGTCAAAGTGCTACTCCACAAGATGTTTTCTATATGAAGATGTCCAGTTTTAGAGACGGCACCAACTTATTTAAAAAAAACACAGATTAAGAAATAAAACTTATACAACTTCTTCTCCTCCTACTTCTACTATTAGTAATACTACCAATAATCCTAATAAATACATTGAAATAAAATGTATATTTTTTTAATCCTTGTTATTAGCATCAACACAAAAAGTGTAATGTACTTTAAAGTGAACCAAAGCGTAGCCTACCTTTGCATGTTGCTGTGGAAATCAGTTCATCAGGACAGAGAACACAGCAGAAGTGACAGCAGGGGGGAAAAAGAGCTGAATAGGAAGAGGTGTAAAGGAAGTTGATGAAACAAATGTAAATGACATTCTAAGTAAGAAAGCGGAAGTATCAACTTGCTAGAAAGCTAAAAATACACGTCTTCCCTTCCTTGTCACTACTGAGCATGCAGCAAATACAGGATGACGTTATTAAGATATAATACTGAACACTGTTCACATTTTCAGCACTAAAACACATTCTTTTCAAGCTACGTCTTCCCTTAAAGCAGGTCAAATTGAACAGAAAGTACCATGAAGTACCATGAAATTGTGACAACTACCTTATTTGTGTATAAAATTGGTAATAAAACTGATCCAAATTCTGATTTCAAAAAGAGATTAAGCTGAACAATTTATGTATATTGGAATTTTCCTCCCGTTGTTAGAAGAATGAAATTCAAAGTTAAAGTCTGTGAGAAACTAGCTGTATCTAATCTCTTCGTGTTAAAGTTTTGCATTTTGAATAAAAACCTTGGTTTGCATTGCAAAGCATGAACAACAAAGTCATAGTGATGAAACCTGACATTGTCATTACCCTAAATTAAAGCTTCGTGCTAAAGGCTAGTGGACACATCTGAAGTGTGTCTACTCTGCATGCCTTTAATGACTGTGTGTTTGTGTCATTTCATCTATTTAGAGTAAAAATAGGATGACTAGGGACAAGGAAAAATAAATAGTTTCCTGGTAATTTCATTGAAATATTTTGCATTTAAGACTCATTAAAAGCAGATGCAGTAACAAGCTGGTCACAGTTAGGTGACCTTTTCCTATTTAATAATATGTTCCATCAAAAAAGGCTGTGCAGGCCCAAAGTGGGTCGGTCCAGATGAACTCTGAAGCTGTGTGGGCCGCACAAACCCAGACTTATCCCACATGTATCTCAAGTGGATGTGCCCACACAGTTACAGTAAAGCTGTAAGGAGCAGACATAGCAAAACTAGATGAGTTTAAATAACTTGGTCAATCATCCAAAGCAACAAACAACACACAAGAAAATTGAAGAGGAGTGCGAAGGCAGGCTGAAGTGGGTGGAGAGTGTCACAGGTGATTTGTGAAATAAGGACAGCAGCAAGAGTGAAAAGGGTGAAAGGGAAGGTTACAAGATGGTCGTGAGACCTGCTGTGATGTATGGTTTGGATGCAGCAGCTCTGAAAAAAAGACAGTAGCTAGAAGTAGACAGGGAGATTTTTTTGGGAGTGACCAGGGTGGACTAGTATAACAAAGAAGTAGATCAGAGGGACAACTCAGGTTAACCAGTTTGGAGACAAAGTTAGAAAGGCAAGGTTGAGATGGTTTTGACATGTGCAGAGGAGAGGTAGTGGATATGTTGGAAAAAAGAGGCTGAATATGAAGCTGCCAGGTAAGAGGAAAAGAGGAAGACCACAGACAAGATTCATGGATGCAGTGAACGAGGACTTGTAGCGGGTTGTTGTGATGTTAGGGATAGGGTGGCTCTCCACCATATATTGAGATATTGAACTTAGACAAGGACAAAAAATATGTCAGAAGCACATAGTTGTGTGTAAGCTAGGTGTTGGTGCTTTGTGTTTCATTGCTTGTCTTAGTAACTGCAGTTTTAGCCTTTTTCAGTGACATCATAAACCACAGGAAGATGAAGAAACCTGCATGGCACAAGAAAGAGCGAGAAAAACAACTGTTTAGACTTTATACAGGAGATGCAATGAGTACGCACATTTGAAAATGAGAGTAGTAATTCATCCGTGTGTCAGAATCTGCAGGATGTGCAGATTGTAGGTTGTGAAGGACCAAAATACAAGCATGTGGAGACAGAGTGCGTTAAACCTAAAGTGAGTCAATTTTTGAGTGAGTACAAAAGGAAAGTGAAGTCTAAAAATCTAGAATTTAAAAACACACACTAGCTAAAGCATGAAACTGAAGAGAGACGCAAGACTAGAGAGGAGCAAACAAAAAAAAAACACTGAGAAGGGAGGAACAGAAGCATCTACTTTGACGAGGGAAGAAGAATCAAGACGACAAACAAGGAACACAAACTCTAAAATAACACAGAAAGTGAGATAACTAACTAGAGAAAACACAGACATATGAATGAACTAAATACAAGATGCCTGAAATAGAAGGAAGGGCACACAGTGGGGAACATTTGACATACTCCATGGTGCCATGTCAAACTAATTTGAACCGGTCTAACCGGTTAATAATAAATTGTGAAACCTTCCTACTTGGCAGCCCGGTGTGCTGCGCTCCCTGGTGGTCTGCCTCGTGGTTCCCGGGCTGACCTTGAGCGGCTGATCACTTGAGGTCCTGCATCCTGCACAACCAGTTCGGGCCAGTCTAGCATCTGCAGACTGCTGCCTCCAATCCCCCTGCTTGGCCTTCGCGTCCGGCGAATCCCTGACCGGGGTGGTCTGCTTATGGGTACTTTGTCAATAGTTTATTGCACCCTTCACTCTCGGCGGTTCAGTTGTACTGTCTCATCGCGGGATGTCTTACAGAGTTACCCCGTACATATGTAACGGTGTGGAGAGATAGTCTTGATATGCTAGAGAACATACGATTACTGTGTAGCCTTGGTTCTTTTAGTGAGAAACTATCTCTCCACTGTCAGGCTGCTCGAAGACGCCCTCTGATCAAACTATCACCGGTGTCAAGTCTGCACAGCTGTTTTATACATGAGCTGTGGGGTGTAGCCGGGTGTCTTAAGTAAGTATCCTTGTGCCACGACCAAGGGGAGTCGTACCCCGTACATATGGAATATGTGATGGTGTGGAGAGATAGTCTTTCACTAAGAGAACCAAGGTTGTACAGTAACCGTACGTTATCAAAGTGTGGGTAAAGCAGAGACCTTTCATGGTGTAAGTGTCTCTGAGCAGCCACCGGTCCCACGTGGTGATATGACCAGTGTTGGGGAGTAACGGAATACATGTACCGCCGTTACGTATTTAAAATACAAAATATGAGTAACTGTATTCCGTTACAGTTACCGTTTAAAAAGGTGGTATTCAGAATACAGTTACTTTGTTGAAATAAATGGATTACACTGCGGTACTTTCCTGTTTCATTTTGTCACGGGTCAGGACTGTTTGGGTTTGTTTGACAGCTACGTTCTGTCGTTCCAGGCGGCAGCGTTACGGTTGCCATGGTTACAGGGCGACGCTCTCTCTCTCTCTTTCTGCGACTGTGTGTTTCCTGGGTGAGAGAGCGCCTTTTCGTTGTTGTTGTTGTGCTAAGCTAACAGGCAGAATGCTACAAGCATAGCTCTAAAGAATGTAGCATCATGTTCAGTGTAGTCCGTGCTGCTGGGAGAATGCACTGCCATACACGTTATGGGTCTGTGAGCGAGGAGGGAGAAAAAGGGGAGTGGAAAGGTACGAGTTTTCGTCGAGGAAAAACGGGAGCTGGAAGCATGTAAATATAATAATAACCACTGCAGCCAAGAAGAGTGCCTGACGAGCCCAGTTGTAAGTAAGCTGTTAAGACTCGACTGTACACCGTGTTCATGTTTTCCTCCGAAACAATAAGTTCCGTTGGAGCAGTCTTTCAACGCCTCTCTCTGTCTCTCGCAAGAAAAATTGACCCAGACAACAAAGTAAAGCTATTTTTTCGGCTACAAGCCGACAGGGACCCCGCCGTATTAGTCAAAGGTCCCTTTACTACAGTTCGGAGTCGCAGACCTTCAGTAATAGTAATATATCACAGCAATAGTACATTCACGTTGTTGTAAAAAGCATGATAATATATTAAGTAATCCAAAGTATTCAGAATACGTTACTGTCATTGAGTAACGTAACGGAATACGTTACAGAATACATTTTGGGGCATGTATTCTGTATTCTGTAATGGAATACATTTTAAAAGTAACCTTCCCAACACTGGATATGACCACTGTTTACCCAAAATGCACTTTTTAAAGGGTTCTCTACCTATATGCAGGGTACCGCTGTTTTTTTCTGACATTCTTTGTTGTAAACATTAAATTAGTACACTTTTGATTTTTAAACTATGAGTTACCATATGATAATGATGCTGAACAAAACTGAGATTTTCACTTTAGAATGCCCGTAACTTGTAAATGTCCATAGGGTGAAGGTAATAAGACAGCTATTACTGTTATTACTAACACCACAGCCTTTAGTGATTCACAATGTGCTTTAATATAAAATAATTTTCAGACCAGTTCAATTACAATAAAGCAAAATGCTGTGTGTGCAATCAATCAACATAACAGCCTCTTAAAATACTAAACTAATGCCAGGTGAGTTTCATTTAAAACTAAGATCTAATGTGCAGACTGGTGAAAATGTGACAAAATATCAAATTTATGTTGTTTTGCCTCTGATCTCTGAAAGCGAGTGTAAAAAGAGACAGGTGATCTATCCTCTAACAATAAGATAAACGGCTTGCCACAAAAACTCTGTCTATTGCAATAAAAAGAAAACTTCAAACTAAATTTGAGCTGTTAAAATCTTCACACTTAATACATTCACATACATTTTTTTAGTGTCAGCTGATCTCTTATCTGATACAATTTCTTCTTGAACTCATGTATACAACAGTGTTTCTAAGTTAATATTGCATTAAACATTCCAACAGCACACACAAAGGAACTTCTCGGGGTATTGGTAGTTGTGTGTAAGCTAGGTGCTGGTGCTTCGTGTTTCATTGCTTGTCTTAGTAACTGCAGTTTTAGCCTTTCTCAGTGACATCATAAACCACAGGAAGATGAAGAAACCTGCATGAAACAAGCATGAGAGAGGGAGAGAAGTAAATGTTTAGACTGTCTACAGGAGATCCAATGAGTATGCACATTTGAAAATGAAAGTAGTAATTCATCTGTGTGTCAGAATCTGCAGGATGTGCAGATTGTAAGTTGTGAAGGACCAAAACGCAGACGCTTGGAGACAGATTAATTGAAACTTAAAGTAAGTCATTCATTTAATAGAATAGTTTAATAGAATAGAATAGAATAGAATAGAATAGAATAGAATAGAATAGAATAGAATATACCTTCATTGTCATTGTACACGTACAATGCAAAAACACCACAGGCTGACTAACATGAGTACAAAGGGAAACTGAAGTCTACAGATTTAAAAACACACTAACTAGAATATAAAGCCAAGGAGAGATGCAGGAGCAAAGAAAGGAAGAACAAAAACACTGGGAAGCAAGTAACAGAAACAGGTGCTTTTTGAAAAGGATCCATGTAGACAGTGACAATATATATACCGAAGGTTGATTTGAGGAGCGAAGAGAGGTGGGGAGAACAAGACATGGCTGAACAGGATGATCAGACAACACAAGGGAAGTAAAACTCATGACAACAAACAAGGAACACAAACTCTAAAATAAAACAGGAAGTGAGATAACTAACCATGGAAAATACAGAAATATGACTAAACTAAATACAGGGTTCCTGAAATAAAAGGATGAGTACACAGAGGGTGGCAGAAATTAACACAGTAAACACAGGGGACACAAGATAACCATGATGAATACAACACTAGCAACTATAAACAGAAACATGGGTTTTTCACCATGAGAGAGCTAAGTGGATTTATTTTCCATGTATAATAGAAAGTGCTTTCCCTTAAACGTAATGTGCTTCTCTCAGAAATGCAGTGCAAACAATATTATACAGTAGACATTTAGAAGCCTATGAATTCTTTAGTTTATTTTTAAAATTTGAAAATATTCTGTGACTTTCCAAAATCTCGAATCACTATGAAATAATATTTTTTTTAATTATTGTAAATGACCTGGCCACCTGCATTACTTCGTTTCCCATGCGGGGCCCACACAGAAACTTGTGACCTACAATAGCTCTAAAATCATGACAGAATTGATCTTAATTGATTTTACTTCTGACATCATCACCAAAAACAGTCATAATGCGCGGGTCTTATCTGCTACAGTTGACAGGCCAACAAACCCTCCTGTGTGAGTGGCAGCTGAATTTCATTCGACCATGGCCTGCAATGACTTTGCCAAATTCTTCACAGACAAAATCCAAAAGATTAGACAAGCAATTGGTACATCAACAGCAGATTCAGGATGTGTACTGTGTCCACCAAAAAACTGTTTAAACACCATGAAACAGTTTCACCCTATTAACAGCAAAGACCTGGAGGACATCTTAGGTCAACTGAACTCCTCTTGCTGTTTAGATGTCCTGCCAACAAGTTTTTTCAAAAAGGTCTCAAAGGCTTTGGAGTCAGACCTGTTACAGCTCGTCCACCTTTCTTTAATGTCAGGTGTCAGGTAAACTGAAAACGGACAATCTTGACAAGACACGAATGAACAACTACAGGCCGATCTCAAATCTCCCATTTTTAAGTAAGATCACTGAAAAAGGAGTTTCTCAACAGCTCAATTACTTCTTGACACAGAATAACTGCTATGATGCCTTCCAGTCATGTTTTAGACAGAACCAAAGCACTGAAACCGCTCTGAC